TGGGTCTAAATCCGTCTGGCTAGAGACCTTCCCATAATGTTTATGCGATAGGTCAGTAGGTGGAGAGTAGGCAATCTTTTGTGGCTGATCCAAGCGGCAACATTCTAATCTGAAAGATGAAGCCTACCCGGAAGTGCGATAAACTGCAATACATCTCAAATCCGCTAGAGGCCGGTCCCAAAAGGGAGCAAATATCCATAGACGTCATGTTATAATGTCCGTTTTCACAGCATAAATTCATATGTTTACAGTTTGGTCCCATGGACTTTGTTCCGCGTGCCTGACAACTGTGAGGGGGGTGAATTTTTTTCTAACTTGTTAGTTTAGATCATATTAATATAAAACGTATGACAAATAAGGGCGGTTAACTTTGATTGACAGCTGATAACAGGCTGCGCCGAGTGAATTTGACGTCTCGGCCATGATGGATCGGACACAACACATCATACCACCTCTGTATCCTTTCTGAAACTTTTGTATTTTGTATTTTCCAAGATTTTCCAGTATGGCGCCGCCCATACCCCCCATAAACAGCCTCAAACCCGTTCCTCAAACCCGTTTATTTTGGGGAAAAAGCTGCATGTAGCCTCTTTAAGTAAAAAAAATTACATAGTGTTGCTTTAATCACAGTTCATTAATATTTCACTGCTTTCATTGAAGCAGAAATTCGCACACAGAAATCGGAGATAGCGCTACGCACACAGAGAAACATTTAGGAGCACACAAACTTATCAACGCTGCCCAGCGACTTTTATTGATGAAATAGATTCAGAGAGTCTATGGGTGACATCACAGACGCTTTGTCCATATTTTTGACAGTCTATGGGCTGATCGAACGCATTCGACCACATGAGTATTTACACTAGGAAAGCAATCCGCTCAAAACGCTTCTTAATGCAAGGTGTAAACAGGGCCAAAATGTCTCACATGTACCAATGTTTCACTGCATCAAATGTCACTGTTGTTTCCTCATATTAAGGTGAAATTCATCTGCACTGATATCACAGATTCTGCTGAAAATATGACCCACGCAGATGACTTGCCACAAAGGTAGGCATAAATGAGAAATTACATCAGAATTGACATGAGGTGAGATAATACTGAAAGATTAGGGATGTTTTCAGTAATTAACATGCTCATTGAATGATTTAATCAGTTTATTCTGTCTGATATGGACCATCTCTAAACCAACATTGTGCATTGTGAGATAAAGTTAACGGTATTTTTAGAACATGACTTTAAATTTCCATCATACGGAAATAAACTTCCTGCCATTTTTCCTAACCCTAACTTTTCCAAACTTGCAAAGTTTTAAAATATCTTTCTTTCCCTCATGCAAAAATCCATAGAAGGACGTCTCATTGGTTGACACCTCGATGACAGGCTGTGCTGGTTTATTAAAACTTCCCGCATGACGGGGGTCATGCCGTGAGTAAAAAAAATAAAATGGAAAAAAATGATAAGGGACGTTGCTAGTAAAAGCCTGCTACTTTCCCCCTGATGTCATGTAGTTCAAAAATAACTGCACTGATCTGAAATCTGTTTGAAATAAGAGGCCGATGTGTCAGAAACAGGACCTCCCATGAAGCCACAGGTAATCACATTCACACCTCAAGTTCAAAACACCTTAAAGGTGCACCCACTGTGAGCGGACAAGCTGTCAGTATGCCCATCAGGAGATGTTTGAGTCATAAATGGTCAAATAAAAAGGCTATTGTTACGTTTATTTTGGGGAAAAAGCTGCATGTAGCCTCTTTAAGGTAAAAAAATTACATAGTGTTGCTTTAATCACAGTTCATTAATATTTCACTGCTTTCATTGAAGCAGAAATTCGCACACAGAAATCGGAGATAGAGCTACGCACGCACACAGAGAAACATTTAGGAGCACACAAACTTATCAACGCTGCCCGGCGACTTTTATTGATGAAATAGATTCACTACTGAATCAATACATTATATTTCTTAGCAAAGATGATTTAAAGTGAGCAGATATGCTAGCTCTGACGAGGCATAACTGACAAAAATAAACCTTATTTTAACTGCTCGCATCAGGTGGTTTCTTTGCCTCCACATCGAGCATTAACATTGTTTAATTTAACCCTTACGTATAATACGTATTTTTGTAAATGGTTGAGTGCACCACTATTCAAAATTGGTGTCAGCAACAGTCTCTCATGCTCACCAAGACTGCATTTATTTGATCAAAAATACAGTAAAACTGCAATATTGTTGAATGTTTTATGATTTAAATGTTTTTTTACCCCTTTTATGTAATTTGTTACTTCACTGTCACATGATGAATTTGATAATTGAACATTTCTTCTTATTATCAATGTTGAAAGCAGTTGCGTCGCTTAATTTTTGTGGAAAACGTTGTTTTAGGAGAAAACCACTAAGAAAACAACTTATTTGCAATAGAAATCATCTGTGACGTTATAAATGTCTTTCCTGTCTCTTTTAATCAATTTAATAAATCTTTGCTAAATAAAAATGTTAATTAAATATAAAAAATCTTACAGACCCTAAACTTTTACACAGCAATGTACACAAGAAATTATATTTTAGAAAAAGTAACTGTGATAGGGTTATAACTAACATTTATAAGAAAAATGTATTATAGTAATAAGTATATTTCAGAAATAATAAAATAGTATAGCTTTCAAAAAAGTATTATTTATGACAATATAGAAGGCTGGTCATCTCAGAAAACCTGTGACAATCTACGATTCAACACCCCACAAAAGGAAAACATGATACAACACTTGAATCAATTACAGTCATTTAGGAGTCCCACACATAGATGATGACGACGATGGCATTTGTCATCACCATTTCCTTATAATGAGGTCTTGGTAAGTCAAATCAAGAATGAACACATCAGCTCTTTCACAGAATTGTTTTCCGGCCACCTACAAAGTTCCAGTGCAACTTTCTCACTGACTATAATACTATGAATTTCACAAAACATTTACTTATATCACGAAAACAAATATGGGGGGTTGGCAGTAGATTATTCACAAATAAAGACTTCACGTCAAATAAAGCAAAATGGAAAAAGGGAGGCTGACCGCTCTAATAATATGACACGCAGCATGTGAATGTTTGTGAGAAGATAAGTATATCATGAGGGCCATGTAGCTCATGTGGTTTTTACAATAGTGATGGGAACGCTGTGGTGTATGCCCATCATTAGTACCACACATACCCACCCGATCGCACCAAGGAGCTAAAACAAGCCTGGGGGCTTTTCCACCCACAAACAACAAGTGTGAAATTCTGATTATACTTGCAAAACTGGGGGAAGAAGCATTTAGGGGGAAACATAATCACACAAGCATTTCAGCTTCTGAGCATGCTACAGTAATGCCTGCTGCAAGCTACACTGATAAATCATAGAAGTTCTCTTAGCGTATTTCAACATTTTGTTACTTCTTTAAATGTGGCCATTGCCTTTTAATTACATAGACATTTTATATCTCTAAACCTAGTTTCTTCTAATGGTATTAATTATTAATAATAATTCAACAGTCTAATTGCTTCTTGAAATTCAAGAAGAGAGAAAAGAAAAGGTAAAATCACACTACAAATACAAGATACTAGGCTGTTTACACCTGGTTTTAACATCCATCTCGGGTGATTCGATCAGAAGTGGTCAACCACTGCACCACATGCACTTCAAAAGCATTTCCTGTGAATGCTTGTGATTGGATTTCAGGTCTTTCATTTCATGAGTGCATTACTAATAGAGACCGAAAAAGGCAAATTTTGATATAGTGCGGGATCTTCTCTTTGGCACATTTTCGACTGATTTTTTTTGGGCGTTTTTTTCCTACGCACCTACCAATTGCAGGTGTGCGATGGTTTTTTTCATTTTATAAATGAGTGCATTACTAAAAGTCACTGTATCAATGTTCATTACTGCTCAAAAATGTGGGGTTTGTGCGATTTTTTTATGTTTATGTCTCTTATGCTCACCAAGGCTGCATTTATTTGATCAAATATATAAAACAGTGCTATTGTGAAATAATATTACATTTTTAAACCATTACTCCAGTCTTCAGTGTCACATGATCCTTCAGAAATCATTCTAATAGGCTGATTTGCTGCTCAAGGAACATTTCTTATTATCAATTATCAAATATTTTGTAGAAACCATGATAGATTTTTTAATAGAAATCTTTTGTAACATTATAAATGTCTTTCCTGTCACTTTTGATCAATTTATGCTGCCTTCACATGCTATCTGAAATTTCGTTGTGAATACGAGCTAGTCACATTGAAGTGCTTTCTTGTCTGAAAGAACAGGAAATCATGGAGGACAGGACACCAGGTTTATTCTAGCCTATTTATTGGTAAAATAAAAAAAATTGGGAAACTATTTAGATAGTGAGCTTGCTGACAATTCTGGGATTTCAGTTGAATACAAGCTATTTTTGCTGTGTATAAAACATACAATATGCTTTAAATGATCATATTCATAAATATGTACTACTTTAACGACAAGACAAGGAGATGTGTAGCTGTTGTGGAAAAAAATAGTAAAGAATACAGCACCAATCGTTAAAAACTCGTTAAACTTGTTAAATCGGTAAAAATTACCAAGTGGTAAATACGACTTGAGAGGGCATTCATGCATTTTTCATTATGAAATTGTTCTGTTTAAAATCTATATCTATGAAATTCTACCAATTTTTTCAAGTAATAATACATTAACAGTAAATTTGAAAACCTATGTTGTTTTATCAATGGTTGATACACAGATGAGTAGGCAATTACAGTACATATTAGCATTTACACTACAAATGCATTGCGTCACATGCCACACCTCTAAAACATGGCTTTAGTGACTGCATTCCAAAACGCTTTGGACCATATTTACCCTGTATTTATTTATTATAGGCCACTTGTGAGAGATGGATGTTAATTCCAGGTGTAACTAACACAGTTTTGAGGTGCTTGACAGTGTGTAACTGTCTTGTTTTTGTGCTCCTAACTTACCTCAAGCTCCTTGATCTTCTCATCTGCCGTCTTCTGCTTTTCCAAAAGCTGTTTGGTGATCTCATCTTTCGACTGTAAAATGAACCTGCAAAAAGTGAAGAGGAGGTCAAAATAAATCAACAAAAAAGGTCTCATTCATACACAGAATTTACACCAACAGAAATGTACATACATGCGTCCTGCTCCCTCAAACATGTGAGTGGTGTCAGGGAGTGACGTGATCTCTGCATGCGTGAGGTTGGCGTGCTTCTTCATGCGGCTCAGCTGTTCGACCTGCAGGTCTGCCAGCTTCACCTTCTGCTGGGTGTCAATCATTTTAGCCTGCAACTCTGCAAAGGCCTGTGGCATACAGATGTGATGAGAGGATTGGAGTTTAAAATTGAAAGAGATCTGCTGTAATATAATTAACATGTCTCATGCACTCAAACACATGTTAAAACATGTTTATTGGATGTGAATGAGAGTTATTATTACACAGGAACCAGGGAGAGGGTTTATACTACATACACGACTATGAATGAAAGTGCAGAAATAACATAAACATAAAAGTTTAGGCTACAATGTCTACTTTTGCTAAAGGTTTACCATGGTAACCATAGACTTAATATAACATAACGTTAGTTACAAACGACCAGCAACAGTGAAAATACAAAAAAAGAATTTAAGAAAATTACAGACGCCTCTTACACATTTTTATGTATGTACACATATTAATTTACAAAGGGTTTACAGTAGTTACTAAACATGTAAAACGATTTTTGACTTTCTACCAAAAATAAAAAATAAATACAAAAATCAAAAGGCTTCTTGTGCACCGAGGTTATATTGCCATTAGACATTGCTTTTACAGTTCCATTCCAAAATTTTAGTCTACCTTAGTTTTAAAAAATACCTTTATTCGCTATTTTTTCATGACCAAGAAATAAACCCGTTTAGTTTCAGTGAATAAACATGTAAACCACCGTTTACCTTCTTCAACTCGAGGTCTACGGGAGCCGCCATGATGCTGAGAGAAGAATGAGTCACCGCGCATGCGTGAAACGAACGAAGCGCTAGTAGAAAAAGCTAGTGAGAGACCTAACGTACATAGATAGACAGCATTTTCGGTTTCGAAATATCAGCTGATGGGCAAAAATGCTCTCTAGATAGACAGCACGTTAGGATTTTAGGCACTACCTCAATCTCAAAATAGTGCAGCCGAGAAATAACAGTGCGCGAGTTATTAAATTTCATATTTAATGTTTATGTGTAGCCTAATGCTGTTACAAAGGGCAAAGTCACACTAAGCCTACTGCCTTTTCTATTTTTTCACAGCTTATTATGCACTACTTCTAGAATGTTTCACCTCAGTGCGACATTACTAGATAAAATATTTGTAATTATCAACATGTTGTTTTGTCTTGTAAAGTCATGTATGTTCTGCATTGTGGATCCTGAAGACTTCTTCTGCTGTGTGGGAGATAAACTACAGTAAACCAACTTTGGACTTGAGTATACTAAACAGAATGAGTATATCAGATGTATTCATAACATTTCTTTACTCACCCCGGTGACCCCTCGATAATTTAACCTTTCATCATGTACATAACCAACATATCCCTACTTAAAGTAGGCTACTAATATATATTGCACAAGTTTACAAATATCTTTTCCAGTTTCTAATATAAACAGTAAAAACATGAGCACAGACTCACAATGTGACATTTGTTTTAATTAAAGTCAAACAACAGTATTATCATTGATAGAAAATGTTTGGTTATCAGTGCTTGAAATTAGTAAATTAAATTGTGTTATTTTGTTACACATAGTACTTCAAAAATGCTTTGATTAAACTTCTCGTTTTTATTTCACTTAATTTAAGCTACACTTTCTCAGTAATACATATAAAAGACCTACGAAGCCCCTGACAAATGCCTCTGACAATAATCCATTTTTAGAGCTCCGTAAATCTGTTTTTCACAGTTTAGCTGTAATATTATTGAAACCTTATTGGAGAGTTTTCCATATGTGATTGTAAAGTCTATGAAGCAACTTCAGTCCTAGAACATTATTTGATTGTATCTATCGATAATAAATATTCATACAATAAAAACACATTTACAAAACTTACAGTGCATTCAGTACACGAAATCGTTACGTATCAAAATAAATAACTAATATATTATAAATAAATAATTACAAATGCTTTGTGGCGTTTCTGACAGTACGAACAAAAAAGCAACTTGATTGACGTTGCAATACATTCATCCGGTTAAGTCCTCTCTGTATGTTCCCCAGGTGGAGGAACATTGCTCTGTACAAGGAAGCAGAGTTCGAAACGTCCTTCATGCCGATGTTGACAGCCACCATAATCGGAGGACATCAGGTATGTAGGATCCATTTGAAAGGAGAGTAAGAATGTTTTGAAAAGTAATGATAACCAGTGGAAAAATGTAGCAATGATGGCCCTGCTCCTCAGCCATAATGCTATCTATCCATGGGTCACGTGTTGTTTTGACTTTCTTCATCCTGTAAAACAACAATTAATATTATAAAAAATATTATATAAAGAATTATAATGTGTGCATGTATATATATATATATATATATATATATATATATATATATATATATTAGGGCTGTCAAACGATTAATCACGATTAATCGCATCCAAAATAAAAGTTTGTGTTTACATAATGTATGTGTATAATTATTTTGTGTGTGTATATATATATATATACACTTGAATATATATTTAGGAAAATAATATTATTTATATATAAACTATTTATATATAATATAAATTGTATATAAATCTATATACAGTATATGCATGAAAATATTTCTTAAATATATACGCATGTGTGTGTATTTATATGTAAAATAATTATACACAGTACACCCACATATATTATGTAAACTTTTATTTTGGATGCGATTAATTGCTATTAATCGTTTGACAGCCCTAATATATATACATATATAAAGTGCTGACCAATCGATTAATCAAAAGTCTTTGTTTACATAAAATTTTGTGTTTATATACAGTATCTGTGTGACATATCAAACTTTTGATATGAAAAACTTTTATGTTATATGCGAGTAATTGATTTGCCAGCACTAATATATATATATACACTTCATATTTAACAAATAATGGACAAATTTGAGCATTCATTGAGAACTATTTACCTTTCTTTCCTTATCACTACTATATTGACATTGCCTCAAGTTTGACCTTTTCTTCACTTTCTACATCAGCATCATCTTTTTTGTGAAACCTGTAAGAACAGAAAGCTGAATATCTTAGGAAGGTTGTAAAACATTAACAGTTTAATGATTGAGAGAAAGCTGATTCATGGTATCATACCTTAGTGCCAGCAGAATAGCAATGATTGCGAGACACATGAGGGACAGAACCACTGCTACGACAGCTAGAGCTGTGGTCCTGCTGTAACGCTGTTCCACCTTAGCTGATGGTAGGGTGAATAAATGACATCTCTCCCCTGAGTAACCGGCATCACATCTGTGAGAAAGATCATTCAACAGTTCAAAATGGAGAGAGATCAGTTCATTAATTAGATTCTGACTGTTCCTATTCTATAAAAGCTATTCTGTCTACTGTTAAAACTGTGTATTGCATCACTGCTGATATTGTTTGTTTCTTATGATTAACCGCATGTCTTTTAATCTTTCCTCATTTGTAAGGTGCTTTGGATAACAGTGTCTGCTAAATTAATAAATGTAAATGTCAAGCCTTTGCTAAATAACGATCAGGAGGAACGACACTTTTTTTTCTGTCAACAAAAGGTGGAAGAAGAACAAACGCACTGCATGAAACTCACACACAAGAATGAATGTGAAACTCCCTCAGATGCTGACACACTCCATGAATGCAGAAATCTTTGTACTCCCCGAGGCAGGGGTTCTTCTTTCTCCCCTTGCCTTTTCCTTTGCCCCTCCTTTTTCCTTTTGTTGTCTTCTTCTTAGTTGTGGGCATCACCAACGGATGTTTGGATTTGGTGGAAAATGCCACTGTTGAGCAAGAAAGGACAGTGATGTCAGTTTGTGATGATCTAATATCTAATAAAATATCTTACACAATCATTGAATATTTTTTTTACATTAATTTCATGCATAAGTACATAACATTTAGTTGTATTTTATAATACAATATGATATCATATTTGAAATAATTTGTTAAAACAATTTAACAGAAGTGCCAATTCTAGTGTCTTTTTATTACTTATTTTGGTGAGTACTTGTGTAAAATGGTGTCTATTGAAATTCATAAGATATCAGTATTAGCTTTCGGCATTAAAAACAAGTTGACCACTAAAATAGTGCTGGCAAATGGATTAATCATGATTAATTGCATCTAACATAAAAGTTTGTGTTTATATCATATATATGCGTATGTATATATATCTGTGTGTATATGGACACGAAGTTGTATGCGATATATTGAGATTAATAAATTTGACATGCAGCACTAACTTAAAAAAAGCATTCGTTAAAAAGAAGCAACACTACCTTTTGGCTTGCTGAGGTCATAATCTCCAGATAGATAATCATCCTCATAAGTATCATCATCCTCATCCTCATAATACACATTTGTCTCATTGTGGAGCTGGTGGCCTGTTGTGTTTGTTTTCTCAGGAGTGTGAAAGAGGTTGACCACTGTTGTTCTGGATTTGCTACTCTCATACCTGTCCACAGAGGCGCCACTGCACACCTTGAGTAACACTGGAACAGAACAAGACTTTTTTTCCCCCTTCTTTATTAAATCTTAACAATACAAACAGTAAGACACAAATAAAGTCATTAATACAGAAAACGCAATATTAAACAAAAACAGAGCCAGGGGAAGCTTCAAATATATTCAGCCTTCTTATTTTGTGAATCATAAATGGATTTGATGTACTGTTCTGTCTCTTTACCAAAAGCAATAAAGGAAGGTTTTGAATTACTAAATTTGGCTTTGTGAATATGATATTTTCCTAAAATGATCAATTTATTAATTAAGTATATTTCTTTTTGTTTTTTTGGAACAGAACAAGACACTTTTTATACATCTGAAACACATATTTTGTGTATCTTAGTTGATACAGAAAATATGTAGAAGATAAACATGGCAATAAAGCTGATGGTGATTATAGATACGTGCATAATGTAAAATATAAAATAAATCACGGAATAAATAGGGAACAAAACCAGAAATATGTCCAAAGCACATTTCACTGAAGCAAGAAATCATTATTTTAAAAGAAAAAAAAAAAATCAATTTATATTCCTATAACTTAAGAACCACGTACCAAGTGACAAATATTGGGCAGGTCCGCGTGCAAGTTATAACAGCCTATTTTGTAAAAAAAAAAGAAAAAAGAGAGAGAGTCATTGTTTTAAACACTCACCGAAACATTGGGAGATAAAGATCACAAGCCGCAACTTATCCATATTCCTTTCAAGTACAATCCGAGATATTGGAAGATCAGTTGGTCTCACTGAACCTCCGTGCCACCAGCACCGACCGCGACTGGCACGCAAATGCGCGTGCTGGGGACTGTGTCAAACTGCGAGCTGGGACTAAGAGCGCGCGCCGTTGGTTATATAGACCAAGTCGACACACATTTCCTATGAATCACTGTCCAGCCACACCTCAACACTAAAAACCTACGCTAACATTGAGGTAGATTGAATCATAATTTGACAAATCGTTAATTTGAAGGGATTTCACCGTTTTATTGTCCAGTAGTTATTTTTTCTATGGCAACTAGTTGCTAGGTGAAGACGGTTGACCTACTTATCATGTTCCAAAAACCATATTAAACTTAAATTGGTATGACCAACTCGTAACGTTAGCTGGTTTGGTCATTGTCCACTGGTTTGGAACTGCTATACGTGCTTAAACTGAATATTTCCAGGGAACCAATAGTCTAATATTTGTAAAATATATGGTCAAGACGCTTCAAAATGTTTTAAGTTTTCTAACTGTACGCCAATGATTTGTTTTTGGAAATATGTCAGAGGTTAAAAAGTTAAGACAAGTTAAAAATGTCTAAATTCAACTTTTAAATATTTTTTGTAAAAACAAAGAATGTGTTCATGATTAAGTTTATTAAATTATTTTAATTAAACTCAGTGGGATCACTGGCACCACCTTGTGCTCAAAAATAATCTGACAAAATGCAGACATAAATCATATAGATTCAAACACTCAAAATCTACTAATTTGGTTAGTTTTTAAACTACAATATTGTTGGACCTTTACTTTAAGAAAAAGGAGCAGAGAATACATTTGTGAATGTTTATTTACCATACATATGAGAAGTCAAAGACAGACCAATAGATGGAACTGCGACATCTACAATAATGAAAATTAAAATATTCATGTTGTAAGTAGCCAGACAAGAAAAGAAAAACATTTTCCAGTTTTTAAAAAAAATCAATTTCAACAAAGTTCTTTCCGCATTATAAAAAGTGGAGTTGCGGCACCTCATGCCATGCGGGGCTGGTGTTCTAGTGTCTCTGAAGTGAACCATATGTATGGAGGATATTTACAAGCATTACTGGACAATCGCCACGGCTTGAGCTCAACGGCTGACCCTTCAACTCAGGAATTGCAGGAAATATAATACTGATTCCAACGTTGAGAGGTTCAGAGTGCAGGTGGACAAGGAGTGAATCTGATTCTTCCCATAGTCGTCATCACAAAGAACAAAAAAAACAGACAGCCTCAGCAGAATCGAGACAAACCGACACTAAAATATATTCTTGTAGATGCATCTACATGCCCCAGCCTCCTCCCATGCCATTCATGCCAACTGAGCCACGGCTGCCGCCATAATAACTGTTGCTCATGCCACCCCCGCTATCTGTTGAGGTACAGGAATACACATGTGAGAACCAGGTAAGTGTGCAAAATTAGAAAATATACATTAAATAATTAGTACAAAGTTAAAACGCACTGTAGTCATTGTAGCCTCCCATGCTAGACTGGTTGCTGTACCCACCAGTGTAGCCTCCACTCATCTGCTGCCCTCCATGCCCATAAGACGACTGGTTTCCTAGAAAGAACAAATATTACACTGTTATAATATTATAATACAAATGTTATAGATATTTATTAAGCATTAGTTAAAGGACAAGTTCGGTATCGTAGTTTTTGTCCAACTCCATTTGACTTGGACAACAATAAAACCTGTTGGAAAGCATCTTTTGCAGCGATTTGTGTGAGGATATCAACACTCCTGACCACTCGGTGAGTTTAACGTCTTTGTGAACAAATTTATTGCGTTTTAGGAAGGATTGTGCACCTATGCAACCATTAGGTAGGTGGGGGGTTGCAACCACAGAAACCAAAAATTCCCGGGCCAGCAGCATTTGTCCGATCTTAATACAGGACTTTAAGTGCAAAATACTGAACTAGTCCTTTAAGTCTCAGCTGCTTCATCTGTAAAACCATTAAAAGCGTTTAGAATAGAGAATAAGATATGACTGTTGCATGCTGTTCTAATATGATATTAAAGGAATGGTTCACTTTTAAAAAAACTTTTGCTGATAATTTACTCACCCCCATGTCATCCAAGATGTCCACGTCTTTCTTTCTTCAGTCGAAAAGAAATTAAGGTTTTTGATGAAAACATTTGAGGATTTTCTCCATATAATGGACTTCAATGGGAACCAAACTGTTCCAAGGTCCAAATGAGAGTTTCAGTGCAGCTTCAAAAGGCTTTAAACGACACCAGACGATGAATAAGGGTCTTATCTAGGACCCTTCGAGTCATGACTCGAAAAAAGATTTGTTCATTTTGATGAACGAGTTTGAACAGGAGTCACGAACACTCATCACGGAACAGAGCAAGGCGAGCATTTGTGCTTATAAAACGTTTTTTTTTCTTTAATGACTGATTACTTGATAGGACCCTTATTCATCGTCTGGTGTCGTTTAAAGCTGCACTGAAACAGTTTGGTTCCCAATGAAGTCCATTAAATTGAGAAAATCCTGGAATGTTTTCATCAAAAACCTTAATTTCTTTTTGAAAAAACAAAAGACATGGACATCTTGGATGATATGGGGGTGAGTAAATTATCAGCAAAAGTTTTTTTAAAAGTGAACTACTCCTTTAATATCACAGCAAGTTGCCCTTTGTATAGCTTAAAAAGCCACAGTTGAACTAATAACTTACCCATTCCGCTCATCATCTGCCCCCCGTAACTCCCATTACTGCCTCCTGCCGTTGAGTTTAAGAATAACTCAACATAACGGTGTTCTGAAAACAAAGAGATTTAAGATTTGAATCTTAACATCAATAACACAAAAACAAATCAGAATACACCAAACTTACGCATGTTTGCTTTGTCCTTTGACATTGCAGCTACTGCATCTTCATGTGTCGCAAATTCCACATCAGCCTCGCCGGTTACCCGCCCATCTGGACCAACCTCAATGTGCACACGCACCGGGTTCAGAGGAGAGAAAAACTGCAAAGAAAAAGTGCATTTAACACCCAATTATTGAATATTTACAAATGAACGTAATTTTCATATAAAGTCATAAGATCAAGCAAATCAAACAAAGGCAACTTACATTGTAGATGTCAGGTTCTGTTGCCCTGTAAGGGAGTCCCCTCATATGAACACAATGGCCCGTGGTACTCTGAAAATTACCACCGTCACCATAACGTCCATCTGACACTCCTATTTCAAAAAATAAGCAGACAAGCGAATTCAAAGCAAGTAGGATAAAATGTGGCACATCATCTACAGAAACTGGTCTCACCTCCACCGTATCCTCCACGTCGCACCCGGTCAAAAGATCCCCCGCGACTCATGCCATTGTAGCCCCGGCCCCCTCCGCTGGGTCGGTCGTAAGGCCCAGGTCTCTGCATGCTCATGCCTTTACGCGGGGGCTCGTAATGTGTCCGCACTTCAGCTCGGCTGCTCTTAAAGATCTCAATGTACCTACAAACATACAGATGAGCACTCAGGTGCAATGCATGAACTCATCACAAAACACTCCTGATCAGGAGTTAAATCAACTGCAAACAAAATAAATCTGGACCTTCACCTGCTCAACATGTATAATAATATCCATGCATTTGAGAGCTCAATAGCATCCATTTCACAGAATTGTCTCCACTTCTAGATTTATAAAAGAACCTTGGGGCCTTATTTGATATAGATATATATACACCTTTTAAAATATTCCCAGTGCTGGGTAGTAACAGTTTGTTATCAGATTTAAAACAAACACATTTACAAAATGGCAGACAATCCAAAATTCATTTTCTCACCAATTTTTTTTTTCTTTTAAATTTTCCTTTCTAAAACTGCAGATTGCTTTGAGAAAATCTTAGAATTTTATGGTATTACTGCATGAGTCAGAGGCCACATAGATAGCATATATATATATTTTTTTTTTGGTGTTATATTTTTATGGTCTAATTGTTACCTTTTCATCAACTTACAAACCCTCTGCAGTTCCTTCACAAACTCCAGTTTGGAAAACACTGACGTAATGTTTAATGCATTTTTTTTTTTTTCAGTGAATATTTTTAGATTTGTTCTCTTCGGAAATCTATATTACTATGGTACAGGATAATCCTATTCAACTCAATGTAATATAGATTATGGAAGCTCAAGCTTTTTTTTTTAAAGGAGTTAGACATTTCATCTAACAATTCCAAGCTTAAGGCTGCACAATAAATTTCATTTTAGCATTGATATCACAATGTGCGAATAAGGGAGTCACATTGCAGGATATATTATGCACGATTCTCGGATTAACTGCAAAGTTTAACCATCACAGAGTGAAAGCTTATCACTTGCATGTGTTTTCCGTTATTATAGCACAAATTATGTCAAAATGCCCATCTCTGTGAGTATCCTCATAAACAGTCACTTATGGCTCACGTGAATGTAAATAATTGAGAAAGAAGAGGGATGGGTGTCAGTATATCAGATCTGTGCTTTCGGACTTAAAGTGGCAGCATCCTAATTATCCTGTTGTTAATCAAATAAAACACAAAGAGAAAATCACTTTTGTAGCTTTAACACAGGTCAGATTAATTATATTCAATTTGCACAGTGAAGACTATTGCAGTGTTATTTTAGATTTGATTATTCAATTTCTGTTGCTGAAAATGGTTTAGACTTACCTGAAAATCAGAGCACAGCTTCTTTAATTTGTATCTTTGTTCTATTGTATTTATCTATGTTTGCAATTTGTTAATTTTTATGCAGATTCACTCCCCTACAAAATCACCCAATCATTCTAGAATGATGAATTGTTTCCAAATAGAGGTTACTTAATATGGTAAAATCATTTTCAAAATATATTGCAGAATTTTTTTCCCCAATATTGTGCAGCCCTTTCTAAGTTTATATCTCACAATTCTGAGTTTATATTTTGCAATTTTGCCTTTATTTCTCACAATTTTGAGTCGACATATAAACAGAATTGTGGGATATTAAATTTTTTTTGCAATTTACCTTTTTTTTTTAGCTTCAGTAGATCTGTAACGATCACGTTACTAACCGCAATTTTCCTATAATTTGAATTTAGTAGTGGACTACAATTTGTAAATA